AGCGTGAGGAACGGCCCGCTCCCCGCGAAACGGGTCAGGGATGGCCGCCGTGCCGGGGAGCGGCCCGCCCCGCCCCCACAGGCTGGGCACAGGGCCCCCGCCCCACAGCAAGGGCCGGGTACAGGCCCACGGGCAGCCCTGTAGGGCTTCTGCGTGCCCGGGATTGCGCCCCGGACTCCGGCCATTCCCGGGACCTGCCCCGAGAGAGTCCTGCGCATCCGGAATGGGAGAAGCAGCAGGGTAGAAAGGGGGCAAAATGAATGTCGCTTGGAGTTGGCGTCTTCTGGGAAGACGGGTTTGTGCCACAGGTACGGCTGAGGAGAGAAGCCTAGAAGGCAGAAGATGATCGTGGATTGAAGATGGGCCCGTGCCCGGCCTTAGTGCTCCTCCCCACCAAATCTCCCAAAGCTCTTCGGCCTCGAAGTCTCTGCCAAGATAGGCGGTGGGGTGATCCCCCTTCTATAAATGGGGCAACCAAGGCATGGGATGGGCGAGTGACTTTGTGGTTCATCCAAGTTCATGCAGAAATCGCCTAGCAAAGCTGGGCAAAAAAACTCAGACTCCCACCTCGTTATGCACTACACCAGGCCAGCTTTCTGGAAAGCAGACCACAAACTATTCCCTCTTTATCAAGTGCTGTGATGTTAATATTTAAAATAGACCCCCAAAGCAATAATGGGTCACAGATGGTTTGTTCAGAGGTCACAGAAAGAAGCTTTTTACACAGCTCTGGGGTGACCACAGCTGAAATAGTGTGTGGTCAACTCTTCCTGAGACAATTAATTAATGGGAACATGGAGAAGAGCAACAGGATTTAAGAAACTGGAAGGACTCACAGAGATTAAGACCTCAGTCCTGCAGTGAGAGCTATATGAAGAGAATGGGACTCCTATGATGTTCATTGTTAGTTCAGTCATGTCCTATTTTACTAAGAGATTGTTGTTATTTGATTTATGCAAGCTGGACAAACTAACCCAGTGTTTCTCAACCAGTGGTACAAGTACCCTTAGGAGTACTCCAGAAAAGTCTGGGGGGAGGGTATGTCAACCCAACTGAAATTTGGAGAAAACTGAATTTTTGTTTTAAGTTTTACAGCACTTTATTATTTTTGTACTTTTTACACCCAAAAATTTCATCGCCTGCCCGGCTATGATTGTTGTTTAAACAAATGTGCTGCAATGGTAGAAAAAATTTTGTGTGTCTGAAAACTGTAGGTACTGGGGTACCTTTTCAAAGGGGGTACTTTATAGAAAAAGGTTGAGAAACGCTGAACTAACCCACAATGTTCTTATCAACAGTGTTCAAAGCACAAAGACCTCCAGGAAGCTAAGTAATTTTGCAGTCCTCAATAATATGCATCAGTGTGAGTTATCACAAACCATGACTTCTCTAAAATGCTGCCAAAATTCTGCTGTAGCAAAAATTCCTTGTCCAATCCGAAACTGGTTTAGAAGGCTTCATTGCGTTTCCATAAATCAAACCCAAGTTGACATTGAGTGGGATCCAAGACAAGGTAATTATTAGTCACTCTGTGGACTATGAAACCTACTATGTGTCCTTTACCATAAATCCCTCACACAGTAAATTTTTTCTACACTAGGCAATGTGCAGACAGATGACCATGGAATGGATTAATCAAGTTTTTTAATAAACAGTAGACACTGCATATCATTCAATTTCGTCACAAGCTTTGCTACGTTTTCCTCTCTGCAAACACGAGGTGGATCAATATTGCAGAGAACTGGTAACCAAGGTAGATGGTGACACACATGGTGGAATTAAGTTGTATGTCAGTCATTTTTGTGTGAGATGAGTGAAACCATACTGGAGTGCAGTATTCCACTCTGGAATAAACAGTGTGACAAATAGTGCATAAAATCTAGGTGTTGATGACCCATGTCGTTCCAGCCAGTTTTCTGAGCAGGTTGTTGTGTGCTTTGACCTTAGTTATTGTCGAATAGGGGAAGGAGGAGAATTATGAGATCAGTTTGCAAATATTTAAGAAGGGTAAACAAGGAAAAAGAGAAACTCTTTATGGTAGTAGATGGCAGTATAACCAAGGTGCCATCTACTCTGTGGTACAGCAAATCAGAAGAAAATCAGAATGAAATGTAGGTAACAAACAGGATCACATCTCACAGTGTTGTTGTTTTTTCCAGTCCCCCCTACTTGTTGACAAGCTAAACTTGAATTCCACAATAATTTGGCACAGCCAATTGGCAGTTTTACAATAAATCAGTTTTATATTTTTGGGAAAATCCCATCCTTAGTCTTTATTTCTTTTTTAAATTTAAATTGAAAGTCAGTGGGAACAGCGGTCAAAATTCTCTTGTATATCTGGGCACAAGTATTTAACTCACCTGGGCAATTTTGAAAACTCACCTTTAATTTTCAATAAAGATTTAAAACTTGAACTTAATTATACATGTATTAAATCCAAAAAACACAAATATATGACGTCAATATAATGGCCTATGTGTTATTTTGCTATTAAATTCAACTTATTTTGTGCTGTCTCCTTCACACTTTCAATTTTCATTTTGCTGTATTTTGGATAAAACACAATTCTATAAATCTCAGTTAGCTATTACAGTCATTAGGTAGGAGACTTTTGGTTTCCCAAGAGGGATCAGAGTTGTGTGGGATAAACAGATTTGTTGGATATTTTTACTGCTGATCAGCAGTGAACTAGTTAACACAGTTGAGATTTTCAAAATTTTCTTTAGGTTTCAAAGTTAATCTATTGAACCATATAGGGCAGTTTTCATCTCTTAGATCTACGGTTACAGAATGTCCATAAACCCTAAAAGACACCCTATATTAGTTTGTATTCATTTTCTATAAGGGCTAGAATATTTTTAAGTGAAATTTTAAATTAGCAAACCCAATGCAAAGGCAAGATGTAGTCTATAGTCACAACATAACTGCATACAGACCTAGGAGGGATAACATTCAGAGACATTCAATTTTTCTGTACACAAAAATGCTATCATAATCTACGAAAGAGGTACAACATAATATGGCAAATAAATGTATATAAATGCAACTGCATACATTTTCTAAAACCTTACATATTCAGAGAGAAAGTGCACATTAATAGTACTGTCATGATGCCTGAACTGAGAATTCAAAGATACAGGAATTAACTCCCTTACATTGTCAACTTCTCCTATGCAAAATACATATTTGTAATTGATACCATCAGGTATATTCCATGAGCAAATATTTGCACTTCTGACATTTCTTTATCATCCAGGGTATGTCTACACTAGCTCGTTAGTTCGAGCTAGGTAGGCAAATGAGGGCAACTGGAGTTGCAAATGAAGCCCGGGATTTAAATATCCCGGGCTTCATTTGCATCTTCCTGGGCACCGCCATTTTTAAATCCCCCTTAGTCCGAACTCCGTGCCAGCGGCTACACGCGGCATGGAGTAGGTAGTTCCAATTAGGATGTCTAATTCGAACTACTGGTACACAAGGAACTAATGAGCTAGTGGAAACATACCCCCCGAGATCTGTGTCTTCATTTGGTATGGAGTAATGTTTTAGCAGTAGCCAAAGGAGGCTGAGCTATCCCCTTTTGATTCCCACACTGACTTGTAACACCTGTATAGCAAACTTTTTTTAATGAAAGGAGACAATGTTCATACATAGGATTTGTGATCCATAGAAAGCTTGATTTGTAGATAGCAGGCAAACTTTGATTTAGTGATCCATCCAATGCAGAGAAGGAGAAACGAGAAAGTATGTGCTGAGAATAGAAGTAATGAACCCATAACTCAGTCCACTACAGAACTATGAACACGGGGAGGAAATAAGACAACAAAATAGGCATAATTAATAAGAAGAAAGCAGGAAGAAATGAAGAAACAGCACTAATATGCTATCATAACTGGAACAGACAACTAGCAATATTAATGCACTAAA